GATTACGTGAGTTGTCACGTAATTTCTCTCAAAACTTGTCTCCCACCGTCATATCTACTGTTAAAAATAGTCTGAAATTTTAATCGCAGTCATCTGAATTTTGATGACATGAGTTTGAATTCAATAAAAAAATTCAATTTCATTTTCAATAAAAAAAGGGCCCCCCCCCCCTTTTAAGACTTTGATAAACAATTTCTTTCGATATTACCAGTCCCTCACGATCTCCAACTTATTTTTCACCCACGATATTTCCTTTCCCACAATTATAATAAAACCTCGAAAACTTATTCACCTCCACAAATAACCGATCATGATCGCAAATTTCCCCGAAGTTTTCATGATCTTCGGGGCAAAAACGGTGATAAAAAAAAATTGTTAAAATGGGTTTAAAAAGTTTGGTAGTGTCCGTATTATATCGAAATGAACGGGGAGAAAGAGAAACGTCAGACGACGAAGGGGTTCAATGAACCCACAAACGTTGGAGTTGAATTGAGTACCAAAATATATATATATGCTCGGGACATTTAGCTGTATGGAAGGTTGGCTTTGGCAGCAGTGGGTCAGTGGTTCAGGCGATTGTGAATGCCAACGGTGGGGGATCAGCATTATTCTCAGTGTCTCCGAGAGGAAAATAAAATTATTGAAATAGGTCCAGTGCAATCGCCCAATATGATCTTTCCTCACCATTGGCTCGGTGGATTATGGGCCCGGGGTAATGGAGCCCAATTCACTGATTCAATTACTTTGATATCGCCCGGTGCGGTGATTGTACCGCCAGTTGAATGTCTAGCTTGTTATAAATCTAACGCACCGCAAACAGTTTAATGACACGTTGAAGCATCGTACGTGGGTATAGAGAGGTAAACCAAACGAAAGTCGACAATTATTGAACGTTGAACCCTAGCACGTGGCACTGCAGAACACGTGTCTGCAGCGAATGCCTGGAAGCACCTCCATGTTTATGGATATTCACAGATCAATATGCACCATTGCTAAATTACACTTGAAATTCTGAGCAATTCAATTTTCGATTTAATTATTCACAGCGAAATTGCATATGACGAATTTTTCATTGGAAACTTTATTTTATTTATTCTGGTAAATCTCAATTTTCTGTTCCATTCGGCAATAATTTGGAATAATTAATTGGAAATTAATTAATTGAATAATTAATAGTTAATGGTTTCTGGTTCATTTTTTAATCTTTCAAAAATTAAATTGTATTGTATTGAACCCAAAAATTCAAGTGTTCATTAAAAAACTAATTGTCATAAAAAAAATTGAAATTGAATGAAAATTCGTGGTGATATAAAAATCGTTGTAAACGATCCTAGTTCTAGAAAAAAAATCCGTGCGAATTTCTCCTTTCTTCCCGAAACCTTTCTAATTTCCATATATCCCCCACAATAATAATTAATTTGAATTTCTAATTCCAAGAATTCCGACGACGATAACCCGAATTGACGATGAGATATGAATCGTGTGAATGTCCTAGAGCAGAGTTAAACCAAACTGATGAAAAAAATTGAAATCGCTAGACTGCAGACCAAAGAACCGCCTACCGCCCCCATAACCCGATCCTGGAGAACCCGAGGGCAAGTATAGTTGAAACAAGTCCGGTTAGAATTTAGGCTACGAAGAGAGCTCCTACCGAATTTGGAACGACACCGGTCATTGGCCTCATGTAACTCAGCGATCCTTTCCTCCTCGAGATTTTCGACCACATTCATACACCGGACACACGCCATCAAACCACTTGACCAATTGATAATAAACTGGATCTAATCCGACAATCTCCTGCCTAAAAAATTGGGGATCACCCATCAACATCTTCATTAACATTCATTAACACCTTGGCA